GGGGGGGAGAATCTGCTTTATGAGAGGGGAAAGGTAACTGTTGATAAGCATTGACCTAGGTTCAAGTTTTATGATTTTGTGTTGTATTTATAACTTTGCTTCCACCACTCTCTCATTTCTAGTTAAATCCTTCTTTAATAAACCAACTTTTGTTTTACTATAAATGCTCGCCAGTGCTGTGTAATTTAAGGGAAAACTGATAAACTGGAGCATCCACTGCTCCTTTGGCTGTAGAGGATCTGGAATTACTCTTTGTAGCCTCAGGTTGGATATCGGAGCGAGACTATTCTAAGGGACTCAACCTTGGGTGGACCCGTTAACTTTCAAGCAGGGCTGGCTCCAGGCACCAGCTGAGCAAGCTTGTGCTTGGTGCGGCAGATTCCAAGGGGCAGCATTCTGCCCACCCTTTTTTTTCCTTTCTTTTTGGTTTGCTGATCCGGTTGCCCAGTAGGGGGCGGCGGCGCAAAGGAGGGGAGCGCCCTGCAGCAAACTTGGCAGGGCAGCCCGCGTCCTTCCCTCCCAGCCAACCGGAGCGGTGCAGAGCCTTCCTGGCAGGTGGCACGGTGGGAGGGGCTGTGTGGCGAGCGCCCTGCTGAAGCCCTGGCCGCACCCCTTTGCTCTCTCTCACCCCCGCTAGACCGGGCATGCACTCTGCTGCAGGTCTGCAGCACAGGGAGTCCCCCTGCACCCTGGCTTCAGCTGCCCTGCAGGCTTTTTCTTTTTTTTTTTCTTCTTTGCTGCTCCGGCTGCCCTGCAAGTGTTTTTTTGTGTGTGTGCGTGCTTTGCCGCCCCGGCCGCCCTGCAGTTGGTTTGGGTTTTTTTGTTTTGCTTGGGGTGGCAAAAAAGCCAGAGCCAGCCCTGCTTTCAAGATGAAGTTAGGACTGGCATACCCCTGGAGACACTACGTGAGTGGCTGAAAGGCTAGTGATGGTAGGGAGATGACACCAACTTACCACAGGAAGGTTTATTTCATAGAATGTCAGGGTTGGAAGGGACCTCAGGAGGTCATCTAGTCCAACTCCCTGCTCAAAGCAGGACCAATCCCCAGACAGATTTTTGCCCCAGATTCCCTAAATGGCCCCCTCAAGGATTGAACTGACAAACGTGGGTTTAGCAGGCCAATGCTCAAACCACTGAGCTATCCCTTCCCCCACAACTTACCACAAGTGTCTCCCTCTTGCTGGAGGCAGGGGATAACATGAATCACCATGTGAACAGTTTTGCAGGGTAGCAATCTTGGGCATCACTACATATCTTCACAAAATTCTATAATGTTGATAGACTTCAATCAGGGAAAGCAGACCATGTCAGGAGAGGGCTGCGAGCCATAGCTCTTCCTTAGTCCACCCAACAATTGATAGCGATGGGGGGAGGGTACTGAGATGAGAAAACTCCCATCACTAATGGATTTATGGACCCATCCAGGGGAGGTGAGAACAAGAAAATTTCTCTCACTTACCTGGAAATTTTCATTCTGGGCAGGGAAATAGTCTACAAATTCATCCCATCCTGTACTTTTCATTTCCTACTGAGAGAGCTTTTTACAATAGTGTTGTATTGGGTTTTTCCCTCCCTCCCATTTTAG